CTCATTCAAACTGGGACATGCCCACACCACTACTGCTGCTCTGCACAGATCCTTCCAGGTCTGTGCTTTGCTCAACAATGATCTTCCCCACTTTATGGTCGCAATCTGTGTCCCTTGTGTGCCATCATATCCCCACTGCTATTCCCTGCTATGAACACAGAAGTGCTCTGTATTGAGTATTTCTGTGTTCATTGATAAATTTAGAAGAGGAGTGAGGATTCCGAGCCTTCAATCTCCAGCTCTACTGAACTCCTGGCATTTGAATGTGTTTTAAGACTGCAAAAAAAAAAAAAAAAAAGAGAAGGAAAACATGTTGCCAAGCATTGTAATGCATAGCCTGCATTAATATATCATGATGCACACCAACACAGTGCACACATGGCACTGAGGATCAGGTATTACAACACCTAGATGTGAAGCCTGTCTCTAGTTTTTTTACCATAATTATTATAAACATTTGTTATTTTTTATAATATAAATTATTATCAAGTTAAATCATATAGGAAATTTGTAAGCTATGTTGTATTTGTGTGCGCTAATAATAATATAATATGATATTTGTGTGCGCTAATAATAATAGCGCGCACAAATATTATATTATTATACAATTATTATTAGCGCACACAAATATATTATTATACTAGTATTATTAGTGCACACAAATATTATATTATTATACAATTATTATTAGCGCACACAAATATATTATTATACTAGTATTATTAGTGCACACAAATATTATATTATTATACTAATAATAGTATAATAATTGTAGTATGTTTTTTGTCAAACATATATTGATAAACATTTGCACAACTATCACAGGACCTACAAAATCAGTAGCACCATTTTTTCTATTCTATCAGTTCTGTGCTTTCAGAAAATATAGGATTTGGAGGATCTTTCAGAAACTGTGAAAGCTGTAAATGAAAAATGATAACGTGAGAAACTGCAAAAATGGTCTATCCACCTGGGATTAAAAGTGGTAATTCAGTAAAGATGTCTCTTTTCACACCTTATTTTGTGGAAATGCCTAAACGTCCTTGCAGATTGCTGTAAAACCTGAGACATATTTAAACAAAGCAAAATACCTGTTTATATTTAAATAGTGCTAGGTGGAGTTCACAATTTAACAGTCGTTGAGTACTGCTGAATGATCTGTGCATCCAGTCCTTCAAGTATGATCACAACTGCAGAAGTAAAGAGCTACAAGTTAGACACATTTTGAAAAAATTGTTACAAAAGCTTTCATTCTGTTATTTATGAAGAAGACAAAAAAAGCAATCCAACAATAGTTTTGGAGTGCTAATCATAGTGTTACTACATCCTTACCTCTAGATGGCACAATCAGGCATAAAACTAAAAGAATGAGGCTGGAGTCATGCTATTCCATGTATGGGCCGTGCACATGGTAAAAACACACATGCATACAGTATACTGTAGGTGTAATGGGCAGATATTTTTTCTCTTTTACACTAAACTAAACTAAGTGAACAGATGTGAGCTGGACTCATAGGAAAGAATAGAACATGCATGAGTTTTGCTCCTTTAAGATTGACAATTGTGATCAAGCCCTAAATCTTTAGTGCTTCAGGGTTTTGATGGCTTCGATCACTTATAAATGTTTTAACACGCCTTTTTAAATATATTTGCAGATAATAACAGTAAAAACGATTGCACATTATCTAACAATGACCAAAAAATATAATTAAAGGTTTGCTAACAGGGATGAGCTTGAGTTCAGTATGAACCCAGAAGTTAGCTGTCATTTCTGGCATGTCTCCACTGCTTGGGAAAATTAAAAATTTTGCCTGGGCTTCTTCTTTAAACTTTCTAAGCTGATAGAGAAATAAGAAATACTGACAAACTTTGTAAAGAAATTAGTTCAGAACTGGATTCTGAGTGTCATCATCTATGCAGTTTTTCAGGATGACCTCAGTTGATGGCTATGTCAGCTAGGCATTTACACATACAACATTTCCAATTTATTATATTACTACTAATGTGCTTCAGAAAACCTGTATGGTCAGGAATGTTGGTCAGTAGACCTATCTGTCATATAAGAAGTGCCTTAAGGTTATATTCACATCTGTGCTGGTGGTGCCACTGCGGATCAGCATGAAAATCCGTGAAGCCGCACCACCCGCACAGAGGAATGTGGACCCGTGGGTGGGTGCCATTAGTTCTAATGGCACGCCGCCCGCACTGGAAAATGCAACCGTACTGGGAACCAAGGTTCCCGTGCGGGCTGTGTTTCCAGAAGTGCAGGGACTTCTCTGCGTGTCACAGGGCACGGGAGTCCATTCAAATGAATGGGCTCTCATTCCCACACAAAACGTGGCCCGCACGGTCGCATATATGTGAACCAGGGCTTAAGGAAGATCACTGGCCAACCCAGGTAAAGGATTAAGGCTGAATTCACATGACCTGTACACGGTTTCATTTTTACTTCTATTATCATTGTGTGCTGACATCTGTAAAGTGCATTTTCACTGTTTTAATATTTATTTTCAAATAGTTTTTATTGAAAGATTTTTTAACAAACAATAAAGTACGTTGAAAAGGGTTCACAGTAGGCTTTCGCATTAGGTATACATAACATAATATAAGTCCCCACCAATTGGCTGGGGGTGTTATAGATGTAAGTCGCTATTACCTGAGAGGTATACTCGGTTTGATGTGAACCGTATTTGGGTAGACATAGCTCGACATGCTACTTCAGAACTGGGGGGTTTGAACAGGCATTGACCATAAAGGAGGTCATGCCAAACAGATTCTTGTAACAAGGACAGATTCTTGTAACGAGGACATTTTCTGTACAGGGCCGATCGCCAGAGATTAGTGGAGCGGGATTTAGTATCAGGGATGAAGTAGTAGTAGTATATAGACGGTGTGTCAGGGTCATTCTGCCTCCATATTTTGGAGATTAGTAGGGGTGGATTGCTGCGTGTCCGTCGGTAATATATTCCATGTTTTAAGTAAATCTAGGCCCGCTTCGAGGTTTTTGATTGTGTAGATTCTACCATGTAGTTTCACGGTACGTTTTGTAGGGAAGCCCCATTGGTAGCCTATTCCGTGGTTTCGTAAGGCTTTAGTAATAGTAGTCATCTTTTTACGGTTCAGGAGCGTGGCCTTTGACAGATCTGCGAACAGTCGGATATTTGCGTGTGATGGTGGGAGAGAAGGAGGGTTTCTGGCTGCCGACATAATTTTTTCTTTTATGTGGTAGAAGTGGATACGAGCTAGAACATCTCTTGGGATGGATGCTGACAGGAGGGTTTAGGTAGTCGGTGGGCTCGATCAATGGCAAGCTCTATATCTGAGAGAGATGGAATGAGGTGTTTTACATATTGTTGTATGTAGGGTAGTAATGCCTCAGTGGTGACATTTTCAAGGATACCTCTGAACTTGATGTTATTGCGCTGTGATCGGTCTTCTAGGTCAGCCAATTTCAAATTTATTTGTTCGATGTCAGATGTGTGGTCCGTGTGTGCGTCAATCAGGTCATTATGCACCATAATCACCTCTCCCATTCTGGATTCAATGTGGTGCAATCTATGTTCCTGTTGTTGGACCACGGTTGTAATCTGGGATAGTGACAATGTTAAATCGCTGTGCAGAGTTTGTCTAAGCGATAATAACATGTTCTTTATGGAAATTTCGGTGATTGGTTAGTCTGTCGCGGGGAACGCTTCAATCACTGGTAGGTCAGTGTTGTGATGTATGGTTTAGGGCCTGGTCCGCAGATATATGGTCTGAGTCTAGACTTGGCTGGGCTGCTTGTAATGGGGGACAGAGGGGGAGATGACTCACCAGGGTACAGCGAGTATCGCAGCCTGACGTCTGTTTGCTGGGCTGTGTGGTCTCTCTCCTGGCTGCGTGTTCCCTTCAGCGCCGCCGCCGGCGCCATCTTGGATCCCTGCTGAGACAGCAGGGAAAAATTGAGTCAGTTTCCCTGGCTGTCCAGGGGTTTTCTGTCTGCGTGGCATCGCTGGAGAGGGTTGTACACCTCTCATGAGTCCCCCTGTAGTGGCTAAATCCCTTGGGGCTGGTGTGAGCCGTGATCGCTCTGGTGGGTTGATGGAGCGGTGTCTAATCCATGTCCATCCAGAAGCTGGCTGTGCATGTCCCCCCCATGTTTTAAATATTTATTTATTTCAGGTACTTACTGTATATAGCACTGTCAATTTACACAGCACTTTACACATATATATTGAACATTCACATCAGTCCCTAACCCTCAAGGGGTGTACAATCTAAAGTCCCTAACTTACATTCATACATATACACATTAGGGCCAATTTAGACAGGATCCAATTAACCTATCAGCATGTCTTTGAAGTGTGGAAGGAAACCGGAGTACCTGGAGGAAACCCACGCAAGCACAGGGAGAACATGCAAACTCCATTCAGGATGTGCCATGGTTGGGAATTGAACCCATGACCCATTTACTGCAAGGCAGATGTGCTAACCACTAAGCTACTGTGCCGCTCCAATAATACACTGCTGTTTTCATTAATAGTCCTTAATCAAAAGCATTTGAAAATCAATGAAAACTTTTTTAGTCAGTGCACATCGCACAAATGTGAACTAGCACCATTTTACAACAAAGGCAAATCTTTGCACATTCGTTATTGTGCCTTTACACATATAGATGTGCTTAGGCAAAGAGGTTGTGTAGGCAAAATCTGAGAATCATCTACTGGTTAAGGGTTCAAGTGACTCTACTGAGCATTGCAGAAAAGAGAAACCACCAGATGAAGATTCTGCAGAATCCAACACTCCTGGGAGTTAAATAATATGTGAGAAAGTGAAATAGCACTTTGGTTGTGAATGCACTCAGTATAGATGAACTGTGAATATGATACTTGGCCACGCAATGCTAGCTAACTTCTGAGCTCATCACTAGATACGTGTGATGTTTTTTAGCTATCTGGGTATTCTTGCCACTGGCCATCCATGTAAAGGGGCATTAAAGTGATATTAAAGTGTTACTAAACCCAGGACTCTGCATTCACTATATCTGGTCTCCCCGGACCCTGCATTCACTATATCTGGTCTCCCCGGACCCTGCATTCACTATATCTGGTCTCCCCGGACCCTGCATTCACTCTATCTGGTCTCCCACAGTACACACTACATAGAAATGTGATTATTGTAGTAAATATAAACTGCTAAATACCTTTTCTCATCATCTCATCTCATCATAATAATAAATCTGCTTTTTCAAGTTAGTTGTTTATGTGAAACTAAAGATGTCCTGGCACAGGGGCACAACCGGATTCTTATTAAACGTTACGCCCAGAAAAGAACTTTGTTATCTATGGGGAATGGTTGACAGGCGGCCAGAAATATTAAGCAACAAACAGTAAAATCAAGTGCAGGAAGGCAATTATTTACAGGACAGACCGAGCATGCAGGATAAAAAAGGCCATCAAGCATCGGCTGTTCCTGTAATATGACCTGAATGATTATGAGTATGGTTGTCTGAAGAGCCTTCTAGCGACTAGCACCATTGTGCAACAAAGGCCAGTCTTTGCACATTCATTATTGTGCCTTTACATATATAGATGTGAATAGGCAAAGAGGTTGTGTAGGCAAAATCCGAGAAAACATCTACTAAGGGTTCAAGTGACTCTACTGAGCATTGCAGAAAAGAGAAACCACCAGATGAAGATTCTGCAGAATCCAACACTCCTGGGAGTGAAATAATATGTGAGAAAGTGAAGCAGCACTTTGGTTGTGCATGCACTCAGTATAGATGAACTGTGAAAATGATACCAAATATGAACATGAACAGAATCAATAAATCAAATGCTTTTATCTGGCCCTTGGGGCATTATTTCCCCCCCAACTATGCAAAAGTAGGGCATACTTCCTGCCACTGCCACCAACAATGGGGCACTACTCCTTCCACTGACACCAATGATGGGGCACTATTCCTCCCACTGAAACCATTGATAGGTCACTATTTCTCATATTGATACCAACAATGGGGCACTATTCCTTCCACTGATACCAATGATGGGGCACTATTCCTCCCACTGAAACCATTGATAGGTCACTATTTCTCATATTGATACCAACAACTATTCCTTCCCTTACACGAAAGATGGGGCACTATTCCTTCCACTGATACCAATGATGGAGCAATATTTCTCTCACTGACATCAATGATGGAACACTATTGCTCCCCTTAATACTAATGACGGGGCACTGTGTACTCCCACTGACACCAGAACCTTTTGTTCTCCCACTGGTCACAATCTGGCCCCCCCTAAAGTTTGAAAAACGGTAAACTGGCCCTTTGTTTATGAGGTTTGGAGACCCCTGTACTGTACTCCCTATTTTCAATGTGCACGTGCTTATTCAAACATTCCTCACTGTGCTCCAACTGTGTCAGTGCCGCATACCCCTTTTAGATGGCAGCTCACCAAAGATCCTGTGACTCTCCATTAGTGTCCGGTCAAAGCTCGCTTTATGCCATGAACCATGGAACTCCTGTACTACTTCACCAGTCCAGTGACTCCTGTCTCCACTCCAACCTCCTCCTTCAGGCTACTCAGATTAATGTATAGGGAGATCACAAAAATATTTCATTGTGCACCATCTTTGTGAAGAAAAGTAAATTCCTCATACAAAAATACCCTTAAAATATTGCACTCACATTAACTTGTGCCTTTGTACTGGAACTCAGTATATCCAGTGGTATGTAGTGGCAGAAGCGCTGCTGTTCAGGGCTCTGGAGCCAGCATGCGTCCCAATTGAAGGAAGTTACATCACTGGATATGACGTTGGCACCCAAAATCCTGTTTTAACGTGTTTTACTCAGGAAGCTGGGGGGGGGGGGGGGGCATTTTCCCAGCTAATTTATACCTCAAGCCATATTAACCCAACAAATGCCAATTAACATAAATGATTAGGCCGCTGGAGATGTTGTTACATTTATTGCTATTGTCATAATGTTTGGTAACATAAAATATGAAGAATACTTACTGTATGTAACACAAAAATAATTACTATACTTATCTCCAATGCAATCCCATATATATATATTACACTGCTCAACACAAATTTTTATTTTTTTGCCAGTTTTGGAAACAAAAATCCATTTCTTAATGAATTTCACATTCTGAGTTCAAATATAACAATGAAATTTGTCAATTGGCTCTAGTTTTTCTGTAAACGGAAAGTTTTCTACTATAGGCGTAATGACTACATAATGCACATAATTATATAGATAGATGTCTTTCCACAAATATAAAGCAAGTGATATTGACTACATAACAAAGCCTAAATGGCATAATATATTGCATAGGATTACCAAGAAAAATTATAGCCATAAGCTAAGTTGAATCATTTTAATACTTAGGATTCTCACCAGTTTTGTCTTCAGTTTGTGTCGGTTTTGCTTCTCTTGGCTTTTCTCTTGTATTCGAGGAAAGGGCTATCTCTTACAACTGCACGTGACTACACGCTTCAGGTTCTTCCTCACTTGACTCAACCACAAAGGATTCTGGTGCTTTAGGAATTGGTAGCCCCTCTCCATGAGGAACTGGACGTAAATTGCCGATGGAATATTTGGATAGTGCACAGATAACTTTTTTTCTGCTTATTTAGCCCTTTTACAATTGGAGGCACCATACAAAAGTAACAATTACTAACATGATCTGTTGACTCTCTCCAAATCATTGGCACAGCGAAAGGCATAGATGCCTTTTTTCCATTCAACCATTGCTCCAGTGCCGTCCCACAAGAATTGCAGCATATATGTGGTGCCCACCTCTTGTCCTGGTCTCCTATCTTGCAGCCAAAATACAAGTTGTAGGCTTTCTTAATCATTCCTGTTATCCTCCTTTTTTGTGAGATAAAAGTTATTTCACCGCAGATATAGCAGAAAGAAATTATCTGCTTTATTCACACAAGTTCGAGGCATTACTGAGTAGCCTATATAAGCATAAAACGAAATGTAAAGACGCTGTCGAACTACAATCAGCTACAGATACTGCAGCTTTTATGCAGTGAAGTGATGCAATTAAAGGCTAATATTGCATCATCTCAGTATACATGCAATTTTTCTATTGTCACCAGTATCAATTGCGCAATATGCAGCTGAAGTTGCATCATAATTTGAATGGCTTACGTCATTAGATGGGTGAATATATCATGGAAACTAGAGCCAATCAACATTTTTTAGGGTATTTTGTTTTCAGCACCCCAAAAATTATGTAAGATTAGCTAATGCAATGCCCAAAACTTTTTACCTGTTGAACAGTGTTATTAATAAAAACAAATATATATAAATATAAAACCTATATATAAAAATTATGCTATCATAAGATTTTATTTGAAACACTCCTGGGAGTGTTGGATTCCTGGTTCCTGCTGGGCTCTATGGTGCAATATGCTTGCTTCTAAATCACTACCATGTCCAAGTGGGTGGGAAAAACCCCAGTACACTGCAAGGTGCTAGACACTTTCTGCCACATTGTAGTTCTATATAGAATGTGGCAAGCTCCTTTGTGGTGAAGACATGCACCTTCACGTGTATATTCTATATTACTTTTCTCAGCCAGCATTCCAATGATTCTTCATGTGCCTGGATTTCAGATGAACATAGTCAGCATGCTTACAAGTCTTCGAGGTATAGGAACCTTGAAGGAATATTTGTCAAGACAGAGAAGTGTTACTGGACTACAAACAGCCAAGACAATGAGTCGGATTTGCTAGTTAAATAACACCTGGAAAGGAACAGTACTGGTTAAGCCCCAAACACACAATGAGAATATCAGACGAATGGGTGTTTTTTTTTGCATGCTTGTCTCCATATTAAAAATGAAGAGGTCACTAAAGTTAAGAAAATGTGACAGAATAAAAATTCGGAAGTGATGTAATGTATTATATTTGTGTTGTATTTTTGGTCGAAAACTGTACTGATTAACGGTTAATCATTAAGGAAAATCGTACAATCTGGTATTGTATGAGAAAATTTCCGTGCTTGTACCTTCGGATAATATTGCACAACCTGTCCTGATTGGCTCTCAAAAGCTGTGTACTAATGATACCCACCTGCGCCTCGACCCTGTCCCCTCTCAGCTCCTACGACCTCTCTCCTCCTCCATCTTACGCTCCCTCACCCACATCTTTAATCTCTCCCTCTCTTCTGGCGCATTGCCCTCCCCTCTGAAACATGCACACATCACTCCCATACTCAAAAAGCCCTGCCTGGACCCCACTGACCCGAACAACCTTAGACCCATCTCCCTGCTGCCATTTACATCCAAACTCCTCGAGCGCTTAGTCTACAATCGCCTAAGCCCCCACCTCAATGACAACAACCTCCTCGACCCTCTACAGTCCGGCTTCCGTCCCCTACACTCCACCAAAACTGCCTAACCTAAATTAACCAATGACCTGCTAACCGCCAAAGCTAGTGGCCACTATTCAGTGCTCCTACTCCTCGACCTCTCCACGGCTTTCGACACAGTCGACCACCCCCTCCTCCTCAAAAAACTACACTCCCTTGGCCTCAAAGACTCCGCTCTCTCCTGGCTCTCGTCCTACCTATCACAACGCTCCTTCAGCGTTACCTACAATGCTACCACCTCCCCCCCACTCCCCCTCTCTGTCAGGGTCCCTCAAGGCTCGGTCCTCGGGCCCCTTCTCTTCTCCATGTACACCTCCTCCCTTGGCCAACTGATACACTCCCACGGCTTCAACTACCACCTCTATGCTGATGACATGCAAATCTATCTCTCGACCCCCCCCTCACCCCCTCAGTCTCCGCCCGAATCACTAGCCTTCTGAACAACATATCAGATTGGATGTCGCTCCACTTCCTTAAACTGAACCTCTCCAAAACCGAACTCCTAGTCTTCCCCCCCTGGCCCGCGCACCCCCCCCCCCACTGACTTCTCCATCACGTCCAACATTGCCATCATCAGGCCCGCCCCGCAAGCCAAAGTACTTGGTGTCATTCTTGACTTCAATTTATCCTTCCAGCCCCAATTCCAATCGCTAACGAACTCATGCCGACTCCACCTCCACAACATTGCCAAAATACGCCCATTCCTAACCCCAGAAACCACTAAACAGCTCATCCACTCCCTCATCATATCACGACTCAACTACTGCAACTCCCTCCTCACTGGCCTCCCTCACCGCAAGCTATCCCCGCTTCAGTCGATCCTGAATACAGCAGCCAGACTCATCCACCTTACCAACCGCTCTGTATCTGCCACCCCCCTCTGCCAATCCCTCCACTGGCTCCCGATTGTCCAACGGATTAAATTCAAAATGCTATCACTGACGTACAAAGCTGTCCATAATATCGCCCCAAACTACATCTCCGACCTAATATCCAAATACCACCCAACATGCACTCTCCGCTCCTCACAAGACCTCCTTCTCTCTAGCTCCTTGGTCTCCTCCTCCCATGCCCGCCTCCAGGACTTCTCCAGGGTATCACCCATCCTCTGGAACTCCCTACCCCAATCCATCAGACTATCACCTACTCTCCTCTCCTTTAGGCGCACCCGAAAACCCACCTATTCAGGGAAGCCTACCCCACCCCCTGCTAACTGCCGATCTCCTCCTCTCTTCCCACCACTCCATCCCCCACAGCTTTTCCTCCCGTACCACTATCCCCTCCCTCCTAGATTGTAAGCTCCAAGGAGCAGGGCCCTTGAACCCCTCATGTATCACACTGTATTATCATTGTACTGTCTCATGTATTATCTCCCATTGTAATGTACAGCGCTGAGCGAGCTATTGGCGCTATATAAATACTGTATAATAATAATAATGATCAGTTTATCGTACGATCACTTTGAAAGTGGTATTTTTTTGTACGATTTTCTGATTGTGTGTATTAGGCTTTACAATGAAATGGCATCAGACATTTGGACATTGAGATTATCTTGTTGGACAAGCTGAGAAGATTAAATAAAAGGTCCTCAGATAACAGTGGGTACATTTGCTATCCAAGTAAGCCCAAGCCTGTTTATTGCTTCTTCAGCATGTTTGCCACAAGAAAGCAGGAATAACAGTCTTTGTTCAGGTGGTCTTTTCTAAGGAACTATATGGACATTAGTTATGTTATTGACAGTCAGAAGGTCTGTTGGTAACATCTGCTCAGGAACAATGACATGTTCCCCGCCCCGTTGTGTACATCAGCTGTGGGCAGGGAATCTTCCCCCACAGCTACTTGGCCACGCAATGCTAGCTAACTTCTGAGCTCATCACTAGATACGTGTGATGTTTTTAGCTGTCTGGGTGTTCTTGCCACTGGCCATCCATGTAAAGGGGCATTAAAGTGATATTAAAGTGTTACTAAACCCAGGACCCTGCATTCACTATATCTGGTCTCCCCGGACCCTGCATTCACTATATCCGGTCTCCCCGGACCCTGCATTCACTATATCTGGTCTCCCCGGACCCTGCATTCACTATATCCGGTCTACCCGGACCCTGCATTCACTATATCCGGTCTCCCCGGACCCTGCATTCACTATATCCGGTCTCCCCGGACCCTGCATTCACTATATCTAGTCTCCCCGGACCCTGCATTCATTATATCTGGTCTCCCAGGACCCTGCATTCACTATATCTGGTCTCCCCGGACCCTGCATTCACTATATCTGGTCTCCCCGGACCCTGCATTCACTATATCTGGTCTCCCCGGACCCTGCATTCACTATATCTGGGTCTCCCACAGTACACACTACATAGAAATGTGATTATTGTAGTAAATATAAACTGCTAAATACCTCTTCTCATCATCTCATCATAATAATAAATCTGCTTTCTCAAGTTAGTTGTTTATGTGAAACTAAAGATGTCCTGGCACAGGGGCACAACCGGATTCTTATTAAACGTTACGCCCAGAAAAGAACTTTGTTATCTATGGGGAATGGTTGACAGGCGGCCAGAAATATTAAGCAACAAACAGTAAAATCAAGTGCAGGAAGGCAATTATTTACAGGACAGACCGAGCATGCAGGATAAAAAAGGCCATCAAGCATCGGCTGTTCCTGTAATATGACCTGAATGATTATGAGTATGGTTGTCTGAAGAGCCTTCTAGCGACTAGCATCATTGTACAACAAAGGCCAGTCTTTGCACATTCGTTATTGTGCCTTTACACATATAGATGTGAATAGGCAAAGAGGTTGTGTAGGCAAAATCCGAGAAAACATCTACTAAGGGTTCAAGTGACTCTACTGAGCATTGCAGAAAAGAGAAACCACCAGATGAAGATTCTGCAGAATCCAACACTCCTGGGAGTGAAATAATATGTGAGAAAGTGAAGCAGCACTTTGGTTGTGCATGCACTCAGTACAGATGAACTGTGAAAATGATACCAAATATGAACATGAACAGAATCAATAATCAACCAATAACCCAATAAATCAATTGCTTTTATCTGGCCCTTGGGGCATTATTTCCCCCCAACTATGCAAAAGTGGGGCAACGTTCCTGCCACTGACAATGGGGCCCTATTCCTCTCACTGACGCCAGTGATGGAACACTATTCATCCCACTGACACCCATGATGGGGCACTATTCCTCCCACTGACACCAATGATGGGACAGCAATCATCCTACTGACACCAATGATGAGGCACTATTCCTCCCACTGACACCAGTGATGGAACACTATTCATCCCACTGACACCAATGATGGGGCACTATTCCTCCCACTGACACCAATGATGGGACACTAATCATCCTACTTACACCAATGATGGGGCACTATTCCTCACACTAACACCAGTGATGGAACACTATTCATCCCACTGACACCAATGATGGGGCACTATTCCTTCCACTGACACCAATGATGGGACACTAACCATCCTACTGACGCATCTGAGGAAGTGTTTTTACACAAAACGCGTCAGGAGGTGCCCCTGACCTGTGTGCATATACCGCAAGGCCATCCTGATTGGTTGCCATATCAGATCCGGATGTAAGTTTTTTTATTTATTTGTTTATGCTGGAATTTTGACCATTAAAGACCTACTGCACTATCAGAAGCTTTCTTGGGGCTCATTATTTCCATGTGAGCTCGTTTTTGAAGGTTCCTGAGGATTTGGATGATATATGACTTCCCTTTCCTCCTGCTGATGATGGCCCTGGTGAATGCTTAAGAATACACCTAGACTGATGACATCTAGTGGCCGACTTGCTGATGACATCTGTCTGGTATCACAAGTCCAGAGCACCAGGAGAAGGTCTTAATTGCTCTATGCGCAATTAATGCGCTATCTGGTTAGTGCATTGTTTGTACTTTCACAACAACACAAGAGTCACGTTTATCCTTGATCATGGACTTTTGGAACACCTGCACTTAATCACTTTACTATAAGGACTGAGTTATTTAATTTATTTAACATATTTAACATATGTTATTGTGCATTATTGATTTATTTGCCTCTTCACTTGATTACACTCATATTAGCGCTGCATACTTATTTTATATTAAATGATGGGACACTAATCATCCTACTCACACCAATGATGGGGCACTATTCCTCACACTGACACCAATGATGGGGCACTATTCCTCCCACTGACACCAACGATGGGACACTATTCCTCCCACTGACACCAATGATGGGACACTAATCATCCTACTCACACCAATGATGGGGCACGATTCCTCACACTGACACCAGTGATGGAACACTATTCATCCCACTGACACCAATGATGGGGCACTATTCCTCCCACTGACACCAATGATGGGACACTAATCATCCTACTGACACCAATGATGAGGCACTATTCCTCACACTGATACCAATGATGGGGCACTATTCCTCCCACTGACACCAACGATGGGACACTATTCCTCCCACTGATACCAATGATGGGACACTAATCATCCTACTCACACCAATGATGGGGCACTATTCCTCCCACTGACACCAATGATGGGGCACTATTCCTCCCACTGACACCAACGATGGGGCACTATTCCTCCCACTGACACCAATGATGGGACACTAATCATCCTACTCACACCAATGATGGGGCACTATTCCTCCCACTGACACCAATGATGGGACACTAATCATCCTACTCACACCAATGATGGGGCACTATTCCTCCCACTGACACCAATGATGGGACACTAATCATCCTACTCACACCAATGATGGGGCACTATTCCTCACACTGACACCAGTGATGGAACACTATTCATCCCACTGACACCAATGATGGGGCACTATTCCTCCCACTGACACCAATGATGGGACACTAATCATCCTACTGACACCAATGATGGGGCACTATTCCTCCCACTGACAACAATGATAGGTCACTATTTCTCATATATAATCATTGACATCAGTGGGAAGAACATCTCCTCATGGTTGGTGTCAGTGGAAGGAATGTCCCATAGTTGGTGTCACTAAGAGGAATAATGCTCCTTTATTGGTGTCAATTGAAACAATATCCTGTCATGGATGGTGTCAGTGGAAGGAATAGGGCCCTAGCGTTGGTACCAGAGTGAGAAATAGTGTCCCATCAATGGTGTCTGTGGGAGGAAAATCTCCTCATGGATGGTGTCACTGAGAGGAATAGTCCCTCATAAATGGTGTCAGTGATAGGAATAGTCTGTCATGGATGGTGTCAGTGGGAGGAATAGTCCCTCATAAATGGTGTCAGTGGGAGGAATAGTCCCTCATAAATGGTGTCAGTGGGAGGAATAGTCCGTCATGGACAGTGTCAGTGGGAGGAATAGTCCCTCATAAATGGTATCAGTGGGAGGAATAGTAGCACAATTTGGGGAGTTCTGATTTAAGGAAATGTGGGAACATATGAAGCAGTTTCTTCAGTAGATTTGGTGATGATCAGACAAGTTACGGCAGAGGTCTCCGGTTCCCTTGTCTATAAGGCTCTGTTCACATGCCGCGCAGCACAGGAACTGGCTATCCCGCTCGTGATGTTTCTAGTGTGATTTCCACACGCTGTGTATAGGCAGCCCAGTCACTGGAATGGATGGCTCTATACGTGTTTGTATAATTGAGGCTCATGCACCTCTCTGGGTGATGGGTTTTGTGCAATCTTTAAACACACGTTTTGCCGCAATTCTTGCACAAAGTCTGCTATGCTACAATCGTGGCAAAACTTCACCACATTTACGGTGTCATTAAGAATGAATAGCCCCAGATGTGCGTTGTGCATTTAGCTGCACGATTTGCAGAATTGCGATTCCAAGTCGCCAAGTGTGAACAGGGCCTAACAGGCAGCTGCAGGGGGGATGGCCAGGGGACAAAGGGGATTTCCTAAGGCTGGAGCAGCTGTGCATGGCTACCAATCAGCGTCTACCTTTCATTATCAAAGCTATACTGTACAGGCGGAGATGGAACCTGATTGGTTACTACACACAGCTGCTGTGGGTTCAGTAGATAATAATTGTCACCTCTGCCTGTTATCATTCCTCGCAGTCAGGCACCAGTGTGGGCGGATCCCCGAGCAGTGGGCGGTATGGGGCAGCTCGGTGAATGGTGGAGGGCGGGCTCAGCAGGGAAGGAGGACGCTCCCTCCAGCCTCCATTGCTCTGTAGCGGCGGACGGGCTCTCTGATGCAATGCGGGATTTGTGGTTGTGAATTGGGGCGGAAGAGGAGAGGGCGGGGAGGATGGCTGCTGTCCGGGTGTCCTCAGGACTCGTCACATTCTAGCCTGTGCCAGCTGCCCGGGAGGCTGTACTGGACGTTGGCCGTCAGGAAGGAGCGGATCCTCCGACACTCCGTCACCATGGGCTCGGCGGCGCTGATGCTGCTGCTGGTTGTGCTGCTCTTCTGCCGATCCTGGAGCTCGTCTGTCATCAGCAGCGACCCTCCCATCAATGACAGACCGGTGATCGGTGAGTGGGGGTCGGGGACATCTCCGGGCTCCTCATTAACCCCTTCTCCGCGGGGTCAAGGGCTTCATTGTATGCACACATGGGGAACATCTGCCCCCCCCCCCCCATAAACCCATCAAAAGGTGCCTCTTCTCTGAACGCCGAGACCCAGGGGAATAAAATGGAGGTAGTTGCAATGTCATGTTGCCTGATGTTTGCGCAGCTATTTATCAAATGGATTTTTAGGAAAAATAAATAGTGCAAACAAGCCCAATATTATACCCAATGTTTAGTAAAATGTAAAATATGAGATATTGCCGAGTAAATAGATACCAGACGTGTCGAGGCTTAGAACTGCGCATGTCCGAGGAATCGCATGAAACTACAGTACCCAGAATTCTCCATAGGGGGCGCTCTAAAAGCCTTTACAGCTCATCAGTTCAGAGTTAACCACTTGGCTATCGGGCACTTTCACCCCCTTCCTGCCCAGGCCAATTTTTAGCTTTCAGCGCTGTCGCACTTTGACAATTGCACGGTCATGCAACACTGAACCCATATGAAATGTTTATCATTTTTTTTTGAGACAGCTTTCTTTTGGCAGCATTTAATCACCACTGGGTTATTTTCTTTTTTGATAAACCAAAAACAACTGAAAATATTGGGGAAAAAAACGTTTTTTTTTTTTCTTAGTTTCTGTTATAAAATTTTGGTAAATGAGTAATTTTTCTCCTTCACTGATGTGTGCTAATGAGGCTGCACTGATGGGCATTGACATGCATCACTGGTGGGCATTCCCAGACATTACTGATGGCACTGAAAGGCAGTACTCATATATGGCACTGATTAGCATTCAAAGGTGGCACTGACAGGCTGCTCAGATGGGCACTGACAGGTGGCATTGATGGGCACTGACAGGTGGCACTGATCATCAGTACCCTGATGATCAGTGTAGATCCTCTACACTGCT